AAAATCACGACATGATTTTTTATGCCATCGGTGTTTGGATATTCATTTTTGCAAAACATTCGTACATTGAAAGAAAAAGTATGTTAACAATTGAATCAACAGTTTAACATTCAATATTTTCTTGGATTTAAATTAACTTATATATATAGTTAATTTAAATGTATTTAACCACAAAAACTGTTGATTCAACATAATTTTTCTCTTAGTGTACGAACGTGGCGCAAAATTGATTATCCAAACACCGTTGGCATAAAAAATCACGACATGATTTTTTGTGCCATCAGTAATTCGCAAACAGCGATGGCATAAAAAATAACAACATGATTTTCATTTCTCTAAGCGAAGTTGTTTAAATTTGTTCATATTTGGGTATGTTGTACCCATAGGGGGTCTTAGCATTATTTAAAAGGTTTCTATTTTAAAATAAAGGCAAGTCATTTGAAATAATTGTAACGCTAATAATTATTTCTAATTTGCTATTAATATAACCTATGATAATAACACGCAAAGCAGACTCAGTATGCGGCGCAGAGCACCGAAAAATATGCGCAGACTGCACCGCAGACAAAGCATAGCGAAAAGATGCAGGCAGAAACAATTCGTATGAGTTCACGGCCTCGTTGGAACAGGAGGGTATTCAGGAAAATTTAAATTTAATAAATCGAAGTATAAGCAATTAAATAATAATATTATTTAGGTAATTATTTAATTTCATGCCTTAATTTTTAACATGTGGGTAATAGTTTTTGGTTACGCATGTCGGAGCCACTCGGGGCCCCGTATCATTGATACGGCTGATACCGCGGTAGCTACGCCCCTGGAGTGAGGCACAACAGTTTGTTTTGTAAAATGGTTTTAATAATAAAATAGAAAATTAAATTATTGTTTGATGTCACGTCTTCAATAGAATTTTATGTATCAAGTTTAATAAACGCCATTTTAGACACAAATTTAATATAGGCACGAGCGAGCTTGCGAGCGAGTGCTTAATTAAATGAGTGTCTGCAAAAGTTTATACGAGTTGTATACTATACTTTTTTTAAGACAAATACTTATTATTACCTAAAAATAATTTAAATTGAATGTACTAATTGTATTGAGATAATAAAATAATTTGTACATTTAGTATTATTTTACAAGAAGGGCACTTTAATTTAACGATTGTATGACATTTTGCAACTGTCAACTAACTTAAAACTAACTTTAGCCCGTTACTAAAAACCTGTTGTCAACTTCAGCCCGTGACTAAAAGACCATAAGAGCACAACATGTCAATTTATATTTAAGTCACTTAGTGTCATGGAAACATGTACGATAATGGGCGTTTTAAAGGTGGGAGTATAAACAATTATTTAAGGCTTAATAGTATAATAGTTTTTTTGTACATTTAATTACATACAGTGTAACCCATTTGTTTGCGACTCATCCCTGTAAAATCGATTATAATCGATAATTATCGATCTTTATTTATTGTGCGATTTTAACCGGATTTGTTAAAGTGTAAATGTTGATAAACTGTATTTTTAAAACAAAAAACGCCATATTTTTACAGAATACAAGGCCTACTATGTCAGTTTTTAAGAGCAAATTTTGAAGAATTCATATTAGCGATTTTTTTAAATAAAATCTAAGCACGGCACTGGATTCACCACCCCTCAAAACGACCCTTTACTAAATTTTATTGAAAAATTTTAAGTATAAAAATACACAATAATAACTACAAATATTTATTCTGTCAAGTTATCCATGAAAAAACAATAAAATAAAATTAAACTTATCGTAGTACTATGTTACTATTAGTTTAATATAATTTAAATGTTTTTTCATGGATAAGTTGACAGAATAAATTTTTGTAGTTATTATTGTGCATTTTTCTACTTAAAATTTTTCAATAAAATTTAGTAAAGGGTCGTTTTGACGGGTGGTGCTTAGATTTTGTTTAAAAAATTCGTTAATATGAATTCTTAAAAATTTACTCTTAAAAACTGACATAGTAGGCCTTGTATTTTGTATTAAAATGGCGTTTTTTGTTCCAAAAATAAAGTTTATCAACATCTACACTTTAAAACAAATCCGATTAAAATCGCACAATAAATACAGATTTTACAGGGGTGACACTGTATATTATTATCGTTTGTTGACACTCCTTTAAAAATTTTAAAGGTTTTTATTTCTAATATATTTTTATATTATTTCTTATTACTCGTTTTACACCACGCCAATAGCTGCCACATGTATTATAATAAATTATTGTTTTTCCATTTTTACACTCCACCACTAAAGGTATATACAGTTAAAACGAACCACCCTAAATTTCTCGGAACCTGAAAAAATTTTGAAAAAACGCCGAGACACGTAAAGTTTTATATCTAGGGGGACAACTTATCATGGCAAAATTTGGTTTCTCACTCCTACCCCTTGCGCCCAGGAGCTACCCCCTTAATAATTTGAATAGGGAAGGGGTATCGACTAATACATTATTTTAAAGGTCTTTAAAATCCCTATACATCAATGTTTTATTTTTTAAAATCGGTCTGTTTATTTTTGAGATATTTTAGAAAAACCATGCATATGCTTTTAAAACTTAAATTTTTCGAAAACTGGAAGAATTTGGAAAAAAACGCGTACACACGTAAAGTTTTATATCGAGGGGGACAACTTTTGGCGCTACTGCTACTGCTCCTTGAGTTCTGCAACCCCTAAATAAAAAATCCTAAATTGCAAAAGGTATCATGTGGCACATCATTTTAAAGCTCGTTTAAATTGCAATACAACTGTGTAGTTAGTTTTGTAATTTATCGGTTGGTTCTCAAGAAAAAAAAACAATATTTATTGTTTTAAAATTGGTTTTTACTAAATCTAAACAAATAGGTATACAAATTTATTTATCAATTATAATTAATATTTTAGGTCAAATGTTCAAAATGTCCCCCGTTATCTTGCAAATAATAATAAAGCCTGGATTCTACACATTACGGAACATCGCTGGAGTTATTTGACAGCACTCTGTTATAATCCGTTGACGTAGTTCATCCAAAGACGCAGGTTGTGCCACGAAAACTTTCCCCACAAAAAAAAATCGAGTGGATTTAAGTCAGATGATCGGGCAGGCCACTCTACAGGACCTCACCGTCCAATCCAACGTTCAGGATATCGCATAAATAGATGCTGACGAACTGGAGCTGCGTAATGAGGAGGAGCGCCGTCTTGTTGGAAATGTAAGTCCTGTTCAGAAAGCAAGGGATCATCTTCCAAAGTTTGGGTTATCAAGGCATAAATTTCATTTTCCATCATGTTAAGATACATTTCGCTGTTCAAATTACCTTGAATAAACAGAGGTCCAATTAAATGGTCCCCCAAGATTCCTGCCCAAACATTCAACTTCTGCGGATGTTGAGTATGAACTTCCCGGTATAAATGAGGATTTGTATCACTCCAAAACCGGAAGTTATGCCGATGGACCTTGCCATTGAGTGAGAAAGTTGACTCGTCCGAAAAGCAAATGACCAACAAATTTTGATTTTGAATAAGACGTTCACTCATGATTTCGCAGAATTCCTGTCTTTTATCGAAATCGTCTTCATTTCATTCATGTACCAGCCAAATTTTGTAGGGATGAAACTTGTTGTATTGACTGCGTATTTGGCATAACCTGTATATGCCCCAATACCGCCACAGCAGCTCCTTCGTCATGCACAAGTCCTCTGGAAGACTTTTTTTTTACTGAACCCGTTTCAACAAATTTTGAGATTAATTCTTCGATGTATTTGTGGCCAACATTGCGATCGGGATGATTTTGTTTGAACACCCTTGCAGCTCTTCGAGCACATTTTTGATTTTCGAAATAGCAGCCTACCAACTCAACACGTTCTTGTAATGTGTACACCATATTTAAACAATTAAACAAGGTAAGAATAGTAAATTAACTGATTTACAATGCAACGAACGTTTAAACATTAGCGTTTTTAGGTAAAAACTTTATTTATCAACAATAAGCAAAAAACGATTGACGACAAGTAAGTTATTTTGAATGGTTTAGTATGCATACATGTAATTGATAGGCATTTTTTTTTCTAAATCTAACCGAGTTTCTTTCATTTTTAGATTTTCATCGATGAGATTTGTTTAGTTCCGAAATTTATTAAACATAGATATTAGAGATTCAACTCACGAAAACCGTTTTGACCAAATTTTGCAGGATTAATACGGTAATAACAATATAAATTGTTTTTTTCTTTACAACCAATCGGTAAATTTCAAAACTACAGAGTTGTACTGCAAATTAAAATAGCTTTAAAATGATGTGCCACTGATACCTTTTGCAATTTAGGATTTTTGAATTAGGGTTGCAGAACTCAAGGAAGTTAAAGTAGCGCCAAAAAATGTCTCCCTCGATGTGTGTCCGCGTTTTTTCCAAATTCTTCCAGTAATAGTAGCTTTTCATAGAATTTTTACAGGTTTTCAGCTATTATAATAATTATGTTCAGCTAAATGATTATCTTATATTTAAAAAAATCATCTAGCTAAACCTCTAAAATAATTATAGCTAAAAATCTGTAAAAATTCTTAGGAATAGCTACTATTACAAGGTTAAATTCTGACAATTTTAATTTTTTTTAAAAAGTTACTATGGCCAAAATAAATAATTAATTATTCAATGCCGAAAACCCTATGTTATTTATATAGGAAACTTACACTGCAACGCGGCACGGCATACCTATGTATAAAAATGTGGTAAAAATTGCAAATGAATATCATTTGTAGTTTCCATTTAAATTTATTTTAGCCTGTGTGCGGAGGCCCGGGGTAGGCGAACCCCTCTGCCACTTAGTCTGCCACTGTATATTTTTATTGTCATATACATCTCGCTAAATTAACGATTTGTACCTCAAAATATTAATTCAAAATATAGGTTTACGTAAATACCAATTTTAACTGTTTATGAAAAAGCGCCTCAATTTGAAGTATAAGCTGTTATACAAAATTAGTAATTAACCTACTTCTTTAATAAAATTTTGAAAATTTCTAGATCCTATAAAGCAGATTCCCATGCTCTCTTTTTTTCTTGCATATTTTTCCAATCCATTTTCAAGTGCAATGTTTTTAACTTGAGATTTATGTAAATTTCCTATTAAAACAAAATATCAAATTAGTAAATACCTACACATGAGTACAAAAAGCGGATGCAGAAATTTTATAAAACCCATACTTAACTTCCCGTGGATCTATGCTTAAACTAGGTACAATGTACACTGTACATATATGTATACTAGTGATTTAACATATGTATACTAGTATATGTAAAATAGGGTGGTCGATAAAAATTAAATTATTTGCTACGCCCCCTTAAAACCTTCGTTTTGATGAAAAAACACAGTGCCTCAAGATGATCTAAGTTAATTTTTTGGTATAATCATGTCTTTTCTGAAAATATGGAATAATAATTTTTTTGAGATTTAAAAATTATTAACAAACAACTTCACCTTGAAATCTATATATTAAAATAACGTTTCTACTAATTTAGTTTTAAAATAAAAATATCAATTTGAATATATCTTTCATTTTTTTATTTAATAAACCAAATCAACTGGGAAAAATTTTGAATTTAAATTTTTGTCTATTGTTATTTTGATTAACTATTGTTTTTTTATTGATTTGGGTTCTATAATTGTTTATATTTCGAAAAAAATTTATTTTTCATATTAAATACCAAAAAATTTACTTCATCTTGAGGCACGTGTTTTTAATTTAAAAAAAATTACCAGTGTTTTTTCATCAAAAAGAAGCTTTTTAGGGGGCGTCGCAAAAAAATTAATTTTTAACGACCACCCTAATGTAAAATGTATTATAGTGATGTAACGAACATTTATACTACATAGTTATGTATCAAACATTTGCATACGCATGATTTTTTAAATTTGTATTCGCAAAAATTAATGCAAATGTTTTGGGGCCTTCCATAAATCTCGTAAAGGTTTGACTATTTTTAGCTTCACGAGCTTTATGGACGGCCTTTTGAGAATGTTGTGGACAAATAACAACAGTTTTATTATTTCCTTTAATAAAAGAATAAAGATATCTGCTTTAAAATCAGATAGGTGCGAAATTATAAAAAAAACATAATTATTCTTGTGTTAAGAATTCTAGTTGAGTTTTAAGGTCAATAACCCTTTAGGTATCATTGATACACCGAAAAAAATAACAGTAACCATTGATGCGCAAAACATAAATTTACTTATTATATTTAAGTCCCGTTCTCAAGATTACATAGTTGTTAAATATTAAGTTAATTATAACGTACTGCGCGAAAAGTAGGCAGACAAAATGTTTTGACAAGAAGTTTCTATTCTGCCAGTTTGTTAATTAATTTGTAAAAATAAATCAGTTTGCAAGTTAAATTTATTTTCAAATGCCCGTGGACTGTATTCGAATACAGTCCACGGGCAGCAAGTTACTATATGAACGTGAAGTAGGTGCGTTTAATGGTCTTACTAAAAGGTCCACGAGTTTACAGATATAAAAGAATTTCTCTTATACGGTATAAGAGAAAGGTATAAGTTATACCTACCCTATTACAATGTTGGTGGACCTGCTTAAACACAATGGGACGGCGTCAAACGCAACGCAATCGCGATGCAACGTTTTGAAATTGTGCCTGCTTACAATGACGGCGTTGAACGCCGCTAACATGGAGCCTACACAAGGAGCCCGAACTTAATAGGGAAAATTGACAAAACCTGCCCTCTAAATTGCACAAAAAAGTCTTTTTTTTTCACCACCAGCGGCGCTGATTGTTGATGCGTCCTGACGTCTGCTCTTTTGGTAGCGTTTCGGTACAAATTAGTCAATTGTTTCAGAATAAACGGGACACCAGCGCCTACTTTACTTAGGAAGATTCTTGTTTACATGCAGTTCGGACTCCTTGTGTAGGCTCCATGGAGCCAAGGGACAAAGATAACTAATCCCGGAATCACTCCCAAAAAATATATAAAATATAAATATAAACAGTTTTACAAAATATAAATTAAAATAAACGAACAAACAACATCTTTTGGACTTCACACTTGTTGGGGGAATGGTTTTCAAGAATTTGTAGGCACGTTATAGATTGTTCCCACGTTTGCCCCCATTAAAAAATAATTCCATTTCTTCCTTACCTCGTCTTTGCTATTTTTCATTCTATCTAACTAAGAAGTTTTATTAATTTATGTTTAAATTTTGCGCCCGGCCTTTCCATTTCGTTAGAATCGGTCGTAGACTTTTGCATATTTTGAATGGATGGTAAAGAAAACACTGTCTAATTTTTAGCGGTGTTACAACTATTTGGTATTTTTTATAACAAAAGTATGTGTAAAATAAACGAATATTTATAAGCATTATATTTTAAGGCCTACAATATTATTTCAAATTTCAAATAGTAACAAAGTAACCTCCTTTAAGTTTAAAAAAGTAACCAATAGTAACCTAATAAAACAAACTTTTAAGAAAAAAGACTGCAAAATAATTAAAAATATTTTAAACGTAACGTAACAAAACTCATCACAAATCAAATTATTGTTAATCTTATAAGGCATCGTTCATAAATAATGATGTGTGGAGGAGGTTAACAAATTTGTGACCAAGTCACTCATGTGATATTATTATCGTTTATTGACGATGCCAAAACTGTAATATCAATTTAAGTTCAGGATCCAAAACTCACTTCGGGTTTTTAAAAATGCGAGGGCCTGCAAATCTAGCTTGTATTGTACATCATCTTTAAAAAATACACAATAAAAACAAAACAAAAGCATTTTATAAAAAAAAACTTTAATAATATAAAATATTATATATCACATTAAAATAATATTTTTTTGCTTCTTAATGGTATCAGAGACCACTGAAGTTTTTCTCTTGCATAATCTGCTAGTCATTTTATCTGCGTCTTTTTGCAATTTATTATCATTAGCTCTTTGGTGCAATGCAGAAGAAAGGATGGCTTGCGCAACTTTAACTTCAACTAAATCTTTTTCGTTCAAAAAGTCTCTCCAAGAAAAACGAGTTTTTTATAAAACCTGATTGGTAAATATAGGACATTCGCGCCTTTTTTTTAAATATAAAATTATAAAATTACGTCAATAGAAACAGTTAAAATCTGCAAATTTAAAAACAAACTAAATAAGGTCTTTCAATAAAAAAAATATTCGACCACGCCCATTTTGTCGCTAATAGCCAATTTAAAAGTTTTAGTCGAATTGGCAGTTCTCAAATTGCCCAGTTGGTGATAAATCGTTTAACCTAACAACACCCGCTGGTAGGAGCATAAACACCCGACAGTTTGCGCTTTGCGTGTAATGTAATGTTCGCGCCAACTGGCTTGCAGAATCGTATTCATATCAGTTGCATCGCTAATAATTCCTTATTTATCACAAAATTAAGTATTATTTTTGCATACGAGTGAATATGCAGGGATATATTGAAATAAGAAAACAGTAACTTTAGTAACTTTTTTCAACAAAAAGGAACCAATAGTAACCGCACCAACCAAAAAGTATATTTTTACTATAAAAGTGACATAGCGAAAGGCCTGTTATTATTATTAATTATTGTTAATTAATAATTATTATATAATTAATGCAATTAAATAGTTATTTATGTATCAAGGCAGTCCTATTTTTTATCACGAATGTGGAATTATTTAAATAACCACGTGAGTGATAAAAAATGACTTTAATGCCGAGGTGCATATTAAATTTTATCCGAAATCACATTTAATAATACTAATAATTAATATTGATGATCAAATTAAATGTAACTCTCGAGCCCGAACCCTTTAAATTTAAAACGGTTTTTAGGTTATTTTCGGTTTTTTTCTTAATTTCTTTTAGCAAAAATTAAAATATATATATTTTGTTTCGTTAAAAAATCTATAAAATTAGTTTTTGCAAAAAATATTTGAGCACGGGCTAAAAATCTATAAATTATACACTCTAGCACAAGTATAGGTATATATGATTATTGTGGGTGTCCCATTAAGACCGCCTATTTTAAATTTCGCTGTGTCTAGTCTCACGCTAGCGTGAACGCAATTTTATTCTTATTCTCACGCTAACGTGAACGCAATTTAATTTTTATTCTCACGCTAAAGTCAAAATAATTTTAATTTTATTCTCACGTTAACTTCGTATATATAAATACAGATTAAAGCCTTTTGGTTTTTGGTTAAATTTAAGGCTGCCAACTTTGCCCAGGGGCGGTTTTAGACATCTACTGTGGGAAGGGGCGAAAATAGAAAAAGCCCATGTGTAGTTGACATCATTCTGCCAGCATTATTTTATTTAATTTTACTTTTTAGGTGTCGTGTCATTTGATTTGATTATTATTTGATTATGTCATTTGATTTGATTATGTAAATGTAATAAAATTTACTAATAATAAAATCGAGACTCTTTTACTGCAGCCAAACCAACCCAAACTCAACAACACAACCCAACCAACCCCGCCCTATTGGGCCCCCCCTGCCCCGTTGAGCAAAAAACCCAACTAAAATGGGCAAAATGAACGATTTTCCAATAGGTAGTTAGTTCTAACTCATCATTATTGTTGTTTTTGTCCATGGCAATACATTTTACGTACCCTTGTATCAGGGCAAACCGCCTGCCAACGTTTTAAAAACCTCAAAACCGCGAAAATTAGATTCACAGAACAAATTACGCCCTCGGTGGTGTAGTAGTTAGCACTGCGGACTACAAGCCGAGAGGTCGTGGGTTCGAATCCCACCAGGGGTATGGTTGTTTATTTATGTTTGTCATTGTGTATTTCTGTAATTGGGCCTGGTGCCTGTTGAAAGCACATTAAAAAAATAATAAAATAAAATAAAATAAAAATAAAATTAGATTCTTGAAAGAATCTTAGGTTATGTTACCTTTAGTGACGTCACCGCGTCAGAATAAGAATACAATTGCGTTCACGCTAGCGTGAGACTAGACACAGCGTTTAAATTTAGTGTTATTTTTTTTGTGTCAATCGTATAACGTTGTTGTTGGACAGTGGTCATGTATGAACATTGAGGTTAAGTCATGGAGATTTACCTAAGAGATTTACACAGACGCACAACGCATAGAAATTGTAAAAATCCACTATCGAAAT